CAGTTTCAGATTAGTTTTTAATTTTAAAAAGTTATTTGCTTGAAGTAAGATTAATGTGATATAGTATCGTTTAGGCAGGGGTCCAGAAATGGTATAGAAATTAAATTTAAAGCAAACCTTTCCTTTTCACAAGTGAATAAACCAAGGAGTTTTTTCAGCGCAAATGCTACTTGCCCTTCCCCTTACATGATTATTTTGCCACAGATCTGAAATTACATTTCACTATTACCAGAGGGTTTCTTGTCTAAGCCTGGCAGAGAAAAGGAAGCCTAAGTATAATGTGTTTTTAAAAACATGAGACCGTTCTTTTACTTGTCTTTTACGTTGACTTTCTGCCTTATAGTCGGGTGCAACTGTTCATTTGGAAACTTCATTAGGGAGTCAGTTGTAAGCTCAATTTAAATATATGATGTGTTCTCAAGTTGGTCTGAGCAGCTATTTCCTCTCCAAGAATTGAATTGAGACTTCTTTGCTTTGTAATAGGTGAGATCACTAGCAAGCCTCTGATTATTGGAGACTTGAATTCTCTTCTGGGGAATGAGAATCAGGGACTCTGCTGTTGAAGGAGCAAAACTTTTGTGATTTTTGAAAAATTTGCTTCTGAATGGTCATCTTTGACAAATATGTTGGTAATAGTATGCATTATTCTTATGTTAATTGTGCAGCAGGTAATCTATTCACAATGGAGAAGATTCAATAGATATAAAGGATACAGAGTAGAAAGTATACCTCTCTCTCATCATGTTCCACAGCTGCTGGCTCCTTGTGTATGTCTTTCCAGAGATAGCCTATGCTCATTTCGTATGTGTAAACATTTTGTAAGTGTTCTTTTTGTTTGTATTCCCAAAGATGAGGACCCATTGTATACTCTGCACCAGCTCCCCCTGTCCCTCTTCCCTCCCCAGAGTACTAAATCATGGCAATCTCCATTGATATCTGAGAGAGCCTGCCTCATTCTCTAACAGCTGCTGAGTACTCCATTAGGGATGGACCATAATTTATTTAGCCTCTTTATTGTGATATACGTAGGTTGTTTCTAATAATTTGCTATGAAATTGTAAAGCATTAGTTTTTGAGGTTTTTAAGTGGATTTGGTTATTCCCAAAGGCCTAAAGGGAGTAGTCATTTGTTTCTTTATATCACCTTTCAGGAAATAAATGTGCCTTCTCCCCAGCGTGCATTGTTTGCTTCTATATAACTTCACAGTAATCCATAAGAGCCTTTGGCATCTTTGCTATGAAGTGGGAGCCATGATGGTTAGTAACTGAAGTCATTATTCCTTGGGTAACAACTTGGCTCTTTGTTTCAACAAAAGAAAAGAAGGAACAGATACACATTTTAAAGAATAATCTGTAGGAAAAATTCTTAAGTGTTTAAATATTTTTGAACATAGGCAGCTTGTACCTTTGATTAAATTGAAGATGAGGGTAGTTTATGTTTCATAAAATTTGGTTGGCATTAGGCACTCAAATCACTGCCTTCTGTAGATTATCACCAGTATCTTATATTTTAATGTTAGTATAATATGGTTACAAATTTTATAGTTTATGATAAGATTAATAACAACTTTTAAGGGGATGGATGCTTTTAAAAAACATTTAGCTCTTGCTTTTCTTTAAAATGAAAAAATTGGGGTCTCTTGTCAGCATGCTTTTGAAAAAGAATAAATTATAAAAGTAATGCTAATACTAGGAATTGAGCCTGATACATTATAAAGCTTGAACATTAGCCAATGTTGAACTTTAGTATTTTCATTATGCTTATTTTTGAGGGCTATTTTTTAGAACTAGTGTAAGCTATGATAATCTTTTAAAACATTTGAACTATATATATATATATAGTTTAAATGGTGCAAACACCCCTTAGAATTTAAGGCATTCCCTTGCCTTTTATTTGGTACCTATTGTGATACAAAACTGCTAACCTTGTGTATATTTGTTCTTAAATAGGTATTTATTGGGCATCTGTTAATATTCCAGACAACTTTCCAGGGACTAAATTATGGCACTGCACAGGACAGACAGACACTGCTATAATCTCAGTGAAGGAGATGGATAAAAAGCAAAGATGCAATAAGTGATAGTGACTAGATAGTGCTAAGTGCTGCAAAAGAAATAAAGCAGGGTTGCATGGTAGAATGGGACAGGATGTGGGCTGCTGTTTTACTTCAAGTGGCCTGAGAAGCCTCTCTGGGGTGGAGGAGTCTGAGCTGAGAGTTGAATAAAGGGAAAGAAGCCTATGATTTTGGAGATCTGAGAGAAGAGTGGCTCAGGCAGAGGGAAGGGCAAGTGCAAAGGCCTTGGAGCAGGACTGAGCCTTGCATACCTGAGGGACAGAGGACCGCCTCTGTGGCTGGTGTTGGTGAAAGGAGAGAGCTGCAGGCAGGAGAGGAGTGAGCTGGGGTTGATGCCGATATGTGTTGCATAAGTCAAGAAATGTTTACAGAAATGGGAAAGATGTGAGTGGTGGAATTCCTCTATAGGCTGGAAGCTCCAGGGGGCTAGCAACACATCTGCTTGTTACCGATTGCATTTGCAGCACCAGGAACCACCTTCATCACATAGTGGGCTATGAATAGTTATTGAGTAAATGAATACTTAGAGAATTTACAAAATAATCTTACCTGCTTTTGGTCAAAATACTTAGATTTGGGAGTCTTTTAGTTTTCCAGCTTGGCTCTGGCCTTTGACATAGGCAATTGGTTATACTGTTACCATTTTTCTTTCAAATTATCACTTTAGTCGGAGTATTGCTTTAAGTCGATTACACTTGACTGCTCTTCTATGAAATTCAAGTGTAAAACCTTAAAAACAAACCCTTTTCAGTAAAATTATAGTGATTTATGAGAGATTTTCAGAAAGATGAGTATTTTTATATTTTATTTCAGTGTAATAGCCATTTGTATAAGTGTAAGATTTCAAAGATGCCTTTTGTGTGTGTGTGTGTGTGTGTGTGTGTGTGTGTGTGTGTGTGTGTGTATTGAATGTTTTAATTCTTTGGGCCAGATGACAGACTAATGAGTAGATAAAATATATGTAGGTGCTTTTATTCTCACAGGAGGAATGTGTGCCTGCCCTATAGGGAATATCAATAATTTGTGGCATTTCCTTTTCCCAACTTCTAATCTGTCATTCTAAATAATAATTGAAAACTTGGGAAATGAGTTTTATGCCAAGCAGTTGTTATAGATGTCTAATAAGAATCTACATCTTTCTCTTGACTGTGTCTTTTGGACTCCTGTTCCATATTAGAAGTGTTGTGGTCTTCCAGAATGATGGTTTTCAACTTTTTTGTTTCCTATCTTAAGCGATTAATACCTTAGCATAATAAGCTGTTCCTACTTATGACAATTTTATTTCCAACTGTTTCTCTTAAGTTCTGTGCAAATTATCTGTAAAGGAGGGTTCTTTAGATCCTTACTCTTCAGTAAAGAGGCCTATGTCCTTTTGTCCTGATATAGCAAAAGTTCTTCAGTAAAAGAGTAGAAACACCTACCATTTGGGGTAAATTTAGAGGCTTAGATGCCTGAGTTAAAGTGTTTTTTACCAATTCCTTTACCTTTCCTTTTGTGAAATAATGGAAATTGCAAATTTGTCTTACGTTGTCTAAAATGACAACACATGCATTCTTATAGGATGTTGCTGCTGTTACTGCTCAGGTGAGCAAAGCTTGTGTTTGGGAGATACTGTTCTACGCTTTCATGTTGGAAGTTGAGGAAAAACTTCTGGTAGGTGTATTTTTTTCTATACTTTTGCACAGAGGTGAAAATCTTGGCTTCCAATCATTCTTCTGGTTTATAAGGAAGATACAGAGAAAGAATTGGAATCATTGTATATGCTTAGAGTGGGGAATATGTATCTATATTACTAAGCGGCAATATCCTTAGAGGCCACAAGGCGGTGATATCACTACCTAAAGTGTATGTGTGGTGCTCTTCCAGAGACTGCCTTGGAATATTGAGGCCTCTTGCAATACCTTTTCTAACTTCTCCCCAAAGTAGGCTTCTCCAAAGACACCCTGAATCTGAAGACTGTTGAATTGTGGTAGCAGGAACATCTGGTGGAAAATAACAAGAGGTGACAGAAATGCTAACAGGGCAGTGAGATGTAGACTTCAGGCAGAATTGTTGTACCTGTTGAGTTGGAGGTAAGGTGAGTGGGAGAGAGGTGCAAATCACCAGCAGGACTTTAGGCTGCAGCCCCTGAGGACACCCAAGTGCCACGGTAAGCACTAAGGCGCCTGCTGCGTGGGGACAGGATGCCAGCTGTTTCCATGCAACAGGCTTGGAGACCCACAGTCATGCCATGCTTCTTGCCTTAGTGTTTATAGTGCAGTACAAAGGTGAAAGAGGCAAGATCATTGCAGAAACATCTCCATAGAAACAGTTAAAGTTAGGAGCATACATTTTCTTTTAACTGGAACTTCATCCTACACTTATTCCTTGAAGTTGCCTGGATCACCACAATTTTACTGTAAATGTAAAATTGTTCTTTTGGGAGAATCTGATTTTGTGGAAAAACTATATAGAGCTTAAAATGTAAAGCTCTCATGAATAGTAGAAAATTAAGCACTCAGGCCGGGCGCGGTGGCTCAAGCGGAGTCTCACTCTGTCAGCCCAGGCTGAGTGGCAGTGGCGCCATCCGCTCACTGCAAAGCTCCACCTCCCGGTTCACGCCATTCTGAAGCGTCAAGCCTCCTGAGTAGCTGGGACTACAGCCGCCAGCCCACCACGCCGGGCTAATATTTTGTATTT